CTTTTTTGGGTAAAACCATCACCACAGGGAGAATGAGGCTGTGACCTGCAAACGCTGTCTGTCATTATATCCAAAATATTTATGAGGCCCACCAACCCTCGTTAGAAACCTGGAAATGGTTCATCCGACACTGATTGGAAAGCACATGATATACTCCAGTACTGGAAGGTAATAGCCCAGGTAACACTCTCACAGGCTTAGGCTAATGATTCTGGTCTAAGATATGTCACAACTCTGATTATAAACAGCAGCAGTTCGTCTGGGTTTATCTTTCCAGCCCACCAGTTAAAACAAAACCAGGTGGGACAAATGATGGGCTTCAGACCTTTTTTTATTTTTTTCTAGGAAAACTTGCTTTTTTTCTTTCACAAGATGGGCATTTAGACTTTCTTTAGTGTTTTCTCAGATCATCTTCAGTGTGGCTGCATTGGCCTGACATTACCAGCGGCGCACTGTGATTAGTAGAGCTAGGCCTTCAGTTCAGGCAATAAATGTCAAAACTCGGTCACAATTTGGAAAAAGCATGTCTACAAAAATTCAAATATCTGCTCGTGCCCCTAAAAATCTTTAGTATTAGTAGTAGTACAAGTATTTTGTTAGCATTAAGCTAGGAGTGATACACGTGAAACATTTTGGCTGCTGTAGATTAAACATGGACATTTGAAGCTTGTAAAAGACATTCTGTGCTTTATTTTAGCTTAAAATAGATGTTTTCTATTTCTAAAAACTTAACTAAATCCTGGTTAGACTACTATTTGCATTGCAGTCGCTGACATATCTAGAACTTCCAGAAGGCCTTGAGCAATGTTTTTCTCACAGAATCGGCCCCATTGAACACCTTTCAATGTTGGACGATGAAGTCAGGCACTTTGAAACTTTTGATGCAGCACAAGGTTGTGACATCAACATTAATTTGACATTTCACATCCTATGAATTGAATGAAATTGTGTATTACTTTCATCAAATATTCACTAAAATTTCATAGTGATCATACTATACAGTTCAAGAATACTGCAGCAATATTTAATATACAAGTAGGTATTAATTAGCTTGATTGATTGCTTAGATTTCACATCACATAAGAAATTTATGACTTTGAAAAATATTGAATGTCATCTGATAACTCTTGAGTAGGCTTAACATAGTTTCATAAGTTGTTTATTCTGTGATTAAATGTTAATTTAATGGTGTTTATTGATGTTTATATTGTGTATGTGTTTATGTGTATATATTTCTTTCTTATATATTTTTGTATTTAAGGACTACAAGGAGGCTACTCACCTAAGATTTTCACTCACTTTCACATCTGTGTAACTGTGATGTGACAACAAACGTGATTTGATTTGAAAAAAAAAAAAAAGTTCATATCAGGAAGTGTTTTTGATTCATTACATTATGTATTTGTTACTCCTTAATGTTTCAAAATTATTATTTAATTTCAACGAATTGTTACTGCACTCTTTGTGTATATGTGTAGCTCCTGTAAAGTGTTACTACATTTTATTTATGCTTGGTTTCAATAAAGTAGGCTAAATGCAGTAGGTGCCAGCTATTTAATAAACATCAACTATATCACACCTTTTTGGTTTGGAGAATATAGGTCATTTTGGGGTGCAAAAATATCCTACAATTCTACACTTTGATTCTGGACACCTAAATGTGCTTGTGTTTTAGTCAAATAATAATATATATATATAAAACAATAAAAACTCCACCCTTCAACAAGCAAACATATTAATGTGCTATTACTACAACACACTACTATTACACTACTATTCAGTTCTAACTTCTGGAGACCATATGGATAGTCTTTCTACACAATTTCTATTTTTTTCCTCAAAGTTAGTCAAAGTCTTTGGCAGAAGTGAATTCCTGAACCCTAGCTACATCTCAAAATGCAGTTCCCCTTGGGAGTTTGAAACCTAAAACCAAATCAATAATGCCACAGCAAGAGGTAAACATGGAGCTCGCAGTTTGTGTATGCATATATGTGTGTTGCACAGAATAACCTATGTGTGCTATATTTCACCGTGAGAGGTGATAGTATATGAGCTGGTATAAAATGAGATATCGAGCCAGGCTGAGATATAAAGTTACACGGCTGCTGTATATATGGGATTATAAATAACTGTGATAAAGTGATATGTTGAACTGGCTCATTCCATGTGCAATTTCTAACAGTTAAAACATTTTACAATTTTTTGTATGGATTTCCTCTTAAATTTTGTTAGCTTATTTCTCAGTGGGAGGCCTCGCTTAACCACAGCCTAAGTAATAAAGTACTTCATGTTAGCAAATGGAAAGATCAACTTTGGCTCTACTCATAGAAATCTCCAACAGTGTTCCTTACACAAGCATATATATGCAAAAAGCACAAAAACACACATCCAGACATATCCAAGCACACATACACACACCAACTCATGCAGCTGAGGGTAAAACTCAACCTCTGTTTCCTCCAGAACGGCGCCACAGGGGGTATTAGCAGCCTTGCCTGTGGGATCTGTGTGTCATGGCTGACAGATGAAAGCAGAGAGCCTATTCCTTCTCAAAGCTAGAACTGTGGCCTAAGCTTGACCCCTCACCGGACTTAACTATAGCCTGATAGCCTTACCTGGATTCTGTTTCAGCTACTGCAAATTATAATGGGTGTCCATCAAGACTTCATGCCATCTTTGAGAAGGTGGATATAATTATCCAGGACATGTTAACAAAGGTTTAGATTATTTGTTATTACTTAAACACACCTGATATCCAGGCAGAATAGTTAAAAAAAGTTCCCTAATTGCCAATAACTGCCCAGTATCACTAGCAGTAGTAGTGGTTCATCAGAATCTGTATTTAGTCATCAGTACTTTTATTTTGAGTAACACACTTAAGTGTGTTACTCATCTGTTGCAGCTACCATCACTGAAGCAAGGGAATATGTTGGCTGTGTAGGTTTTAAGACTAGGATTATAGTTTAGACTTGTCCAGTTTATGGCCTAACAATTAGGGCTCTTTTTGGCCTTAAAGGCATGGTCATTCTAAACTAACCGACTGAATTACTCCACTTTTTTGTGCAGGCCCCTTAGTGATCATTCTTCTGGTGGAATGAAAATTGACTCAGGTTTTTAATTAATAAAATGAAATAAAATAACTCTAAACTGCCACTTAACTAGGACACTGTTGGCTTTTTGTGTGTGACATGATGTGACTATGTTGAACTGCTAATGAGCAATGAGGGGTGAAATGGGATGAATATACTAAATTTTATACTTAAGAATTTGTCTTCCTACTCATAATTTTGTTAAGGAATCTCATTTTTATCTATTTTGCAGCATGTTGTATGTTTGTATTATGTTGCACAGACATATTGTGCTTATCTGTGTTAAATAATCAATTGCTTAACCATTGGTGAAACCATGAGTATTGCATACTTCAAGAGTGTGGAATCTCTTTTGCAAGCTAGGATTTAAGTCATGTACATGGACCCAAGATCTAACAGTATATCAAGAAAAACTGTACTTCAAACATCTCTTTCACTTGAAGATAGAGGTGAGCATGTTACACTGTGGTTCTCCACAGTGTGCTTTAACCCCTACAGATGGTTTTTCAGAAGTATCAGGACTTGAGTGATATTTTTCAGTACGTTTTCCTCAGCTGGTTATAAGAGGTGGCCCTATCTGCTGAAAAGGTGGTGATAAGGCCCTCTCATCAGCTGGGAAGAGCCATGACAGTCCCCTGGGAAGTGAAGAGGCATGGGGAGCTCGAGGCAGCCCCAAAGCCTTCACCTGCCCATGCACAGGTGAGCTGCTAACATGCTGTCACTAATAACTCTCTGACAGAGAAATCCCCAGCTGAGCTAGCCCTCTCAAGGACCTGATGACATGAGGGCCAGCCTGAGTGTGCTTGATTGAGTGCTGACTGTGGTGTGATGACACTGTGCAGTCTTAGCTATCATGTGTTCAGTAAAGTTCTGTGACTTTAACCTGCTTTCTGAGCCTGTCCAGTAATTTTTGGAGACACGCTGATGATGCATAACTCATTTACATTTTGCAAACAAAGACATACAGTAATCTAATAATTCATGATCAGTATATTTATAAAATTAACTACAGTATGAGAGAATTTAAACTGTAGTTTTGGGGAAATTGCCTAAAATGAACATTAATTTTGCATTGCTTATGAGTTATATTTCATGTTTTGTGCTTATTAGTTACATTTTTTATTTTACATTTGACAAGAGTACTGGCTAGTTAGCTAGGAAGCCATTTGAAACCACAGTCTGAGGCAACATAGTTAGCTAGCATGCTAAGTGACCATTGCTAAATGACCATTGTAAATAAAATGATGTTTTATGATAACAAAAAGCAAAATGCATACATTTTCTGAAAAATATGTCTGGATACTTTTGGACTATCCAGTTAGCCCTTCAAATTAGTGAATTCAGCTACGTCAGGAGGCATCTATTGCTGACACAAGCGTTCAACTGTGCACACGATCTCCATACAAAAGCATTGCTGGTAGAATGGGACACTCTGGAGCAGCTGCACATGAGCCTCAGATCATCATGCCCAATGCCAAGTGTCAGCTACAGGGATATAAGTGGAACCACATTCTCTGGAGTGATGGAGCACCATTGGTTTCCTTTGGGGTGAGTGTTGTGTGTTCCAGAACTAATCAGCCAACATCAGTGCCTGACCTCACTAATGCTCTTGTGGCTGAATGCAATCAAATTCTCACAGCAAAGTAAAGCCTTCGCAGAAGAGAAGAGACAGGTACAAACTCCCTATTAATATCCTTGATTACTGAAGAAATGCTGGATGAGCAACCCACTTTTGGTCATATCGTACAATTTTGAGGATGAGTTTACCATGATGCCACTATGTTGTGTATGCTGTATTTATAGTGAGCGATTAGCAGGAAGGTAATACAACAGTTCTGCACATGCAAATAAACTACTGACCTGATCCATAGTGATTACTTAGAAATGTGCATGTAAAGATGTAGAACTCACCACTGCATAAAACTAGAGAAGAAGTGGATTTGGCTTGACCTAAATCTCATCATCAAGGCAGATCTCGGTGAAGTCACCACTAAAACCATACACTATTAGAGAGAAAGCAAAGAAAGCAGGAACACTGCAGTCAAATAACTGAACTTTGCTTGTTGTTGAGATTTCAGACTTGAAATATCATAGAGTGGTTCTAAAAACCAAATCACCATTTGTGTGATTTTTGCATGGCAATTACTGGGTTCAAAATAGGATTAACTTATAGTAATAAGTTAATAGGAACAGGATTCAGTTTTCCACCCACTCTTTGCTTGTGCTCGGTTGTTGCTGTTGTTTTCATTAAGTGGCATATCCAGAGACTCCACTGAGGTCTTGGTAGAGATAGCTGGATCTCCATCACTCAGATCCACAACAGTCAGCTCGCTGGGTTTCTCACTTAGTGGTAGAGTAGCCTGGGTGCCAGTTGAGTTCTCCTTTTCTTGTTGATTGGCTTCGGTCGTTGCTGTAGGGGAGATCATATTTTAACACACAAGGGCAAGACAAAAACTCCATATAAGGAATATTAATCTTAATTAATGTCCACTCTATACGTGTTTTTGTGCTAACAATAGCACTAGTAACATATGCTGTATATAAATAACATATTAATAGATGCCTGTTAAATTGGAACTCTCACATTATATTAATTTTAGGCCTTGAACAGGTTCTCAAAAAGAACCCTTTGTGGGACCTTTTGTTGAAAATTTTAATGCGGCATTAACATGTTAGCATTAAAAAAGGCACTGTTCTATCTTTTACTGTAGAGTTGGTGTAAAACACCATAAACATTGTCATGATAATAGCATGGAAATCGGTGATCATTAGGTAGAGTTTGGCAGACACTCTTATAAAGGCAAATAAAGGCACAAGGATGCAAGAAAATGCCTGTGGCTTTATCCAGCATTATAAGATTATTCTCATTGTAATCAGGGGACCTTTTTTTAAGCAGTTTATATGGAGGCCTTTGATGGCCTAGGCCCCCTTACTTGGAAGCCAAGCCCCCATAAAAGCAAGAAAAGAAAATGGTGTTTGTAGCTAAAACCTTACTTAACTATGTACAGAGGAAGACTGAGCTAAACTGAGTTTGTACTTGAGTTGCATGAGACAAGCAGGTAAAAATGTGAAGCACAAACGATTACCATAACTACAGCTATAGCCAACATTCATTTGTATAAGGATAACACTTTAAGCTTCTCCAAACATAAAACAAACACAACACAAAGGTAATGTTCTCCTTCTCCTCCCTCTCCAAACTGCGAATGCATTTTGGGATCCATTCATTAGAACCAAATTCATTAATTGATCCATTACACACGACGCAATTTAACTATGTAATCACTCAGGGGTGCAGCAGCATCTCCTAACTGGAAAGTAACCCCTCGCTCCGTGAAGACCATTACAGCTGCTTTCAGACACCAGACACCAGTGTTTTCTCCTCTTATTCTCTTTTTTCAGCCCATTGCCACTTACTCACTTCCACCATAATTGTTAATACTACCACTGAAACAGCTTAGCGTGAATCAGGTGTGTGATTAGTGACCACAGTGAAACCTGCAGGGTTTGTTGAGGAGATGCAGCTGGTCCAGGTGGGAAAAAAGAGACACCCCATTATTACACAGCACGCTATGAAAGACCGCAGCTTCTGAGTCATGACTCAACCTAACCACATCACTGTTACTCAGTCATGCGGCAAGTGTGCTACACGCCTTTCTCTCTTTTAGTATCGTTCTTCCATGGTGTGCTTTCTGGCTCCTGAGGTTCACACTCTAATCTACAGAGGCAGTACCAAAGAGCTTGAACGACTGTCATTAGCTGCAACACAACTAATAATTTGTCTTAGTCCGAACCGTCTGAGAAAGTCCTGCAGATGTCATAGGGAGCTACAGGAAGATTAAGGAGAAAGCACTAAGTAAAAGGGGAAATGTCTTAAAGTACCGCAAGTATAACAATTGTACATAATGATTGTTCATGCGTTAAATTGGACCAGTGAGCCTAGCTGTAGCGTGAGGCATGCCATCGGCTACTCTGCTTTGCATTATACATCTAACCAGTGCAAAATACATGACATGTGTATATCATTGGTAGCGGAACAAAACCTTTATTTCCATTTTTGTCATTTAAAATTTTTTTTTACATAATTTGAAATTGCCAGCTGCCATTTCATGACAAATGCACTAACAGACATGGTCCATACAATTACACATAGCAATATACTGCTTTTATTTTATTATACTGATACTAAAAACTTGATACCAATCTGAAATTTCTTCTTAAAAAATCACTAGGCTTTAAATTTAGCTATTTTAATTGAAGCACTTCGCTTAAGCATTTAAACAGAGGCAGATGCAGTGATTCTGGGTCTCTAGGCAAAAGGCAAGAATGGTGCCCACTAAATAAACATTTTTAAATTAGTTGAGGCTCTGGGCTCCTACTACACTGCAAAAAATATCTTGTCAAATGAAAACATCTTACGTGTAGTGGATACATCTAATATTTCTCATTTGGAGATGTTGTGAGGGTATTCTTGTAAGATTATCTATCTCTACTTATCTGCCAATATGGCAAGATAATTTGCTACAGTGTGACGCACAGTAAAGCATGCTGGAATTCATTTAAGTGAGGTAGTCACATACATCTAAAAATAGGTTGTCATTGTGAAACTACTCAAACGCTCTATTACCCTACAGGAAGAAATGCACTGCTAACAACATCACATCACACAATGTTGACATTTCTTACAAGACTGGATTAGATTCATTCTTTTTTTTTGGCCCAATACGGATACCCATTAATATCAACCTGCCATTGTTAAACGCTAATAAAATGGTTTTAAGTTGTGGTGAGCCTCTGGCAATGCACTGCACTCTGGAAAATTTAAATATCAAAAGCTTTCTGGCCTCAGAAATGGCATGGACATTAAATAGTGATAGTTTTAAAAATATATAAGCTGTGTAATAAAATAGAGATTTGGTATAGTGAATTGCTTTAAATTGCTTTAAATTTAATTGCTTTAAATTACCACCAGTTTTCTAGGTTCAAAACACATAAATCACCAGGTATAAGTAGCTTTCCTTCCCAATTTTGTATGACTTGCACTCAGGGCTGCCCATAAGGAAAAACGGGATAGCGTTCAGGGCCTCTGCCATGAGAGGGGGCCCAAGAGGCTGAGCATTGTGGCTCAGCATTGTGTTTAGTTCAAACTGCAGTCTCATTGCTAAAAAAAAACAGCAGTATTCAGACCTTACATATTCAGAAGGATCATATTATGATTTATTTAATCTCAACATATTAAGTGAGATAGTAATAAGCTAAATACATACGTAAACACATAGTAATAAGCAAAATGGGGTGAACTCCCCCAAAGGTGGGAAATACAGAGGGGTCTGGGATGCTCTAATTAACTCTTGGACCCCCTGAATGTCTTAAAATCAAAATTCTGAGGGTTCCCTGAAAATTTTGATATACATTATGATGTTATGCTGTCCATTAAGGAAAAACTGACACTCAGTTAGAATGTGAGAGCGCATTACCAAACTAGAATAGAGCATTTCCACAAGAAAAACTGTTAAACCAAACATTTTGTTGCCGTTTAAAGCTAGCATTAGTGATGCTATGGTCAGTCAGCAGCCAGGCAATGTTGGATTAACCAGCCAACCTGGGACCCCTCAAATATCAGGGACTATTTTAAAATTTTGCCACTGTGGTTTAAGCGATTCATCCTTCTCTTCTTGTTCTGCCAATTTTCACAATCATGCAAGTACACATTAAATCCTTCCTGTTGTTTCATGATGTGTTAACTTGCTAAATAAATTAGTTCATTGCACCTCAACATTTAAGTAGCCTAGATTATTTGCCATTATTTGTACTGATCAGTCAGTTTGCAGAGCCAGATAAACTGGCATTACCCCACCTAACCATGAAAAACTAGGCTACTTTAAAAAAAAAGCACTTTCTTATGGTGGTGTACTGCTTTTTACATATTATTTAGTGTGGCAGTATGCAGTTTGGGACGCGGCCAGCCGCTGGTTACCTGGCGTTGCAGTGTTTTTTTGACAACTTTGAGCATAGTTAATGTTAACATTTGCTAACCCAAATCCTACTAGTATATTACCGCAACATGAGGTTATACATAAGCCGTTTTCATAGCTACAATTAGCCGCCATTGCTGTTTGTTGTGCTCTCATTACTGACCTCAAGTTTAAAGCTGGTGAAAGCTAACCGTACTACCAAACCAGGAGCTGTGAGGAGACGATAGCTGAGGCCAGTGAAGCTGGTGACTGAAGGCACCTAAACTCAAGCAGTAACAAAGGCTAAACGAAGGCCCAGTACCACCCAAGACACAACATAGCATGAAATGGGAAGGTTTTGTGATTTGCTGGCTAACGGTGCTACCCTCAGTGTCGTGCTTTTTTATCGCCCGCGGTATAAATTCTGGGTGGGACAAATTAAGCTGTTTCCAATGTCCCACCGGTTCCTACGCCAATGTATAAATGTACACCGGTTCATACACCAATGGCTAAATGAACACACCTTTACCAGAAAAGTGTCACTGTTAGACTGAGAATTGCCCACCAACCAACAATACCCAGCCAACAGTCTCCTGTGGGCAGCGTTCTGTGGCCACTAATGACGGACTAGAGAATGGCTCACACAAACTGTGCAGCAACAGATGAGCTACTGTCTCTGACTTTACATCTACAAGGTGGACCAACAAGCTAGAAATGTCTAATAGAGTGGACAGCAAGTGGACGCAGTGTTTAAAAACTCCAGCAGCACTGCTGTGTCTGATCCACTTGTACCAGTATAACACACCACCACCACGTCAGTGTCACTGCAGTGCTGAGAATGATCCACCCCCTAAGTAATACCTGGTCTGTGGTGGTCTTGTGCAGGTCCAGAGCATTGAAAAGCATAATAAAAGGGGGCTAACAAAGTATGCAGAGAAGTTTAGAACTACAAAGTGAACCTATGGTAAGTGGAGCTGATAAAATTGACAAAGAGTGTACATTCAAGGAGGTGTACTTAGTAAAGTGGCTGGTTGGTGTATACAATTTAATGCTTAAGTTGAATTCCTCCTGTTCTATCTACAAGTTTGTTTGTTCACTTTTTTCACCTACAACAAAACCATGTTCAAATCCCTTTGTGATTAACCTGAAAGAAACAGGATGAAAAGAAATGACTCGGATTAGGGGGTTTCAAAGGCTGCAGTGCTCTTCAAAAGTTATATGGTCGACAGTGTGCCAATGTGTGTCTTTTTCACAGATCATTCAATGTGGAAACTGACACAAACCTCCTTTCTCAAGTTCCCTAATAGCAAAACAACTATGAAGTGTGTCATTTCCTGAGCATGAGGTAGTTGTTTCGTGCAGCAGATATCTCACCCACAGATAAAAGTTGTGAACTGGAGCTAAACCATGTTTGTGACTAAAAGATCACATTCCTGTTTAGCAAACTTGAACACATTGTCTTTTCACTCTTTTTAGCAAATTAGCTCCCCTTTTACAGCAGTACTTTCAATCACCTTTAACACTCTTCTAAGTGTAAATCTAAAAAAACAATCTATTGAGGTTTCCCTAGATCTGGCTTTCATTTTTTTTTTCATTTTTGCAGGACAGAAGACAAAACAGAAGATATGCAAAACCGACTAATTGCCCCAAAGCTGCTAAAACTGACCACTTCCTCAAAATAATGAAAGTCTTGCACAGTGCAATGTGTCCGCAGAAGGAACACTAAGTTCCAAGGTGTATCAGCATGTGTGAATTTGATTTGAAGCAAGTGAAGTTTGTGGACTTTCACAGAGCCTGTAATACAGCTTGTTTCTGCATTCTTTAAGACGTTGAATCATACAGTGTTTTCCACTGTCTTACACAATGTGAGTGATCGTTATCTTTCACCTCTAACTCACTAATTATAAGTCTTGCTTTAAAAATGCCTCAAAACAGACTTTTAAACCAGTGTTGTACAAACATCATTTTAAAAAGCTTTTCAGTTTAAAAATATTCAGTTAGGAATCAGGGGGGAAAAGCAATTTATAGATGCCAGTCACTCAGCACTCTGCCTTTGTCTTAGGTTTCCACCTAGTGGAAGCCATGTGTATTGCAGCCATTTCTAAAAGTCTCTTTGGCCTTGTTCTGTTTTATCTCCATCTGCTATAGGCCATGTCTTTGTTGTAGCATACTTTTGTATAGCGGTTTCAGTCTTAGTTTCAGAATGTACATGTATATATACAGTTATACGTATAGTTTCAGGGTAGTTACAGAATCATTTACAGTAGATACTAAAAAATAAGTCTCAAGATTAATAACTGAACAATAAGCCTGCACTTTAGGAGCTTAAGGCTTGAGCTCATCATGTAATTTAGTGCTGGCAGGAGAAAAACAATAAATTGTTAACCTTAATGTTGTGCATTAAAGGAAAGTCCTATATAGAAGCAAATACTGGCCTAATTACAATAATGTGCTTCTACAAGTTTCCACTACAGAATATTCTTCTTAACACGTAACCTCTGTGTGTGTTAGAGGAATGTAAATGACTGTCATTTGATCTATTTTAAAATGAAGAAATATAGATGAAATGGATGAGCTAAGTTCAAAACCAACTTCCTTCTGTTTTTCTTGGTTAAGAGGAAGTACAATAATGCATCAGTAAACGGAACTGTAAACAGATATTGCAAAGCCTGGCATGCAAATGGAATTCAGTACTATTCTTAAATCCTGAAACTCAGTGTTAATGTAGAGGAGGGGTCTACACAGCATCTGGGCCCAAAGGGTTTACAACATTATTCTTCTGTTAATTAATACTACAAGCTTAGTGAACTCAAAACTTCAAGTTAACCTGGTTACTTACTGTTTAAGTTTAAAAGCTGCATAATGTTTACAGTGCTAAAATATGGTGACATTAATTGCAATTGCAGAGTTTGTGGATGCTCCCAGATAAAACTTAGTACTGAGAAAACTTCAGCAGATACCATCTTGAGTCAGTAGACACTTCATTACTTTTGGGAATGTCCAGTAGTAGCAAGTGTGGAAACTATGAAACTGAAATTATATCTGAACTATTACATATCAGGTTACTAATGTGTCTAGCTTTTCTATTATCATGTGATGACTTTGCTATCGAGCTGAGTCTCGAAAAAAAAATGTCTGATTCAGTATGAAGTAATATCACAGTAAAGAGAATCAAGACAGCATCATTTGCTGTTGTTGATAACAGTTTAGACGTTAGTTGTTTTATGGAGGTATCAGTGAATTTATACAGGTCGGAAACTGTGAATATAAGGGTTAGTTTGAAGCCTATGGAATTGCAGAGCAAAATTATATACTATACTATACTATAATATATACATTATTAAGATTACACCACTGTTTAAATGCTTGGAAATAATCTGTTCGATAATACACAACCACACTGGTTACAGATGAATGTATAAAATGATTTAAATAGGCTCATCCTGTGCAAATAATTAGAAGGATGCGTAACGTTAAGAATCATGTTACAATAGAATTCATATGTAAAATGTATCATATTTCAAAAGTGGACATCAAATCTCAAGGCAGATAACTTGACCAAAAAATGAATGTAAAAAGATAATTACAGTATACTATTTATCATTTAATAACTTGTTTTTGAATTAGAATAAAACATCTAAAACTATTTTTGGTGAATAGTTTGTAATATTTAAATCTACATTGAATAAGTTATTGTACATAAATTGACAAACATTGTTGATGAATGCAAACCTTTGAACTGTAGTGTACCTGTAGTGTACTTTTGAACTGTAGTGTACATAAAGTCCACTCTATGACTTATTTTTTGTGGAGAAGTGTGGATATGTTGAAATACTGCCACACACCTTTCTCTCCTTCCTGCTTCTCTGCTCCATCTGCTGGTGGGGCACTGTTAGCTGGCACGCTGGATTCAGCAGCACTGAAGGTTTGCATGTCTGTGGATGCAGGAACATATTATATTATCTGTAATATACAGTGTCCATATTTGAAACGTTTTAAAGCTATGAGGGAGTGTGTTTAAGCACCTTTAGGCGGGCTGGCCTCAAACACTTCAGGCTCCACTGCACTAAGTGGAATCTGAGCATCTTCATTTTTGCTATGTTCTAGAGAGAACTTCTGAAAGAGATGTATATATGAGAGAATGTTATACTATGATAGCACAAAGATACCTTGATTTAGATATTCTTTCCTCAGCCATACTTGTTCCAATAACTTCTTTTACATTACAAACCAAACCAGAAAAAAGTATGAGGTGCTGGATGTGGCTGTGGTTTAAACCAGAAATTAGCATGAGCTTCTGAAGTGAGTGTGGCTTCAACCAGAAATGAGTATGAGGTGCTGTAGGTGGGTGTGACTTAAACCAGAAATTAGCATAAAAGGCTGTGGGTGAGGTTTAAACCAGAAATGACAAGACTGAGTATGAGGTGCTGGTAGTGGGTGTGGCTAAAAAAGGAAATGAGTATAAGGTGATGGATGTGAGAGTATTTCCTGACCGCAACGGACTGTAAACTAATCAGTGTTGATGTTAATAAGATGCATACAGAATACAGTTTCCCAATCAGCAGTCTAGATTTTGGAATGAGTGTGCTTATTAGCTCACAGCCACTAAAACATACTATTTAAGTACTGAAATCTGCTATTGAACTCAGGACTCTGTAAGTTTAAAGTAATCTGATCAGTATCTTAAAGGTACTGAATTTCAATAAAGCTCTATTCACAAGAATATATTACTGTTTGACTTACAGATGCTATATGTCACAATTTATTTCACAACTTTCTATGTGAAAAAGCATTTTGATTTTTGAAGGTGTTTAATAGGTTCTTACTCGGGATTTGTTCTGAACACAGCAATAAACGATGGCACCAATAAGACACAAGATGATGATGATGAAGATGATGATGTATGCTGAAACACAAAAAAGGAAAAAATATGCGCAGTCCATCTTCAGTTCTGCTACAAATTTATACTGTTTCTAGTGTAAATTAATGTATGAGTTATTTATAAGTTATAAAGTGATGTGGCCTTACTTATTTTGTTGCCTGTGGCGGGGCTGTGAGTAGTTTCTGTGTAAACAACATGCATGCGAAAAATAAATGGTAGACACAAAACAGAGAAGCGTCTCAAAGACCCTGTAAAAGACCCTGTAAAATATATATATAGAATGATCTACCACCCAAATAATACATGCTTTGTGGGGGCTCTGTGGGGGTCCTGACCATTGAAGAACAGGGTGTTCATAATAGTGTTCATAATGAAGCACTATGAAGTTATAATGAAGTTATAATAAAACTGAAATACAGAATGACTTTAATTCAAAAGTGATGAAAGCTTGAGGCTGATAAGTAATCAGGAAATTACTATAAATCAATAATTACAGTATGTTATATATACAGCATATTTAAGCTAGTCTGTAGCTCAGAGAATTACAGTCTACACTGTGTAAGTTATTACAGCAGTGATTAACAAGACAAGGGATTCAAAACCTTTAAACACTAGTGTATTAAAGATTTCTGCTGTGGACAAAAAGATATGTCACTTACTATCAAACTCAGGGTTTTTGCTACTGACTGTAGCTGTGGATCTGAGAAACAGTGTAAAAACACTATGGAGCTTCCACTCTGATTTGTACTGTACTGACAGTAAAGTTTCATCTGGTTATTTTGTTATATTATGTTATATGTTTTTGACTTGACTTAAAATAGTTTTCACTTGGTGCTTTTGGCAAGAAATCCACACTTGTCAATTTAATAGCATGCTTTTGGTCTTAATTTTCATGATATAATACATTAGCATGTACTACATGACTACATACTTGGGCTCGTAAACTGTCCCATAGTCTGCTGAGTTGTTGCTGGTTTTGAAGGTGAGTGGGGTTCTTCTGTCACAGTCTCGATATCAGGTGAATTGGAATTGTTAATTCCTGGTTCAGTCGTGTTATCTGTTGAAAAATCATGTTTAAATGTCATGAATAATTATACTACTTGACATAAGGTCTTATTTTAGTTCTGGTGAAAACAGATTGTGAAACACGTACAACAAAAAATGAAAGGTAAAAGCCAAACTGAGGTTAAAACTGACCTTTTTAACCAGGTTAGTTCATGTCTTTGATCACATTAAGCACAGTTAATCATATCATGTCATTTAAAGAATGAGGTTCTTGTTTTCCTGTAATGTTTGATGTTCATGTAGTAACTGCCTGCCTCATCTCCTGCATTATGATTACATCACAAGTTATTGAGGTAAAAAATAATATTAACCACTCTCATCACCCCCACCTATCATCAAGCAAAAAACTCAAATGGCTGAGACACTCAGAAACACTCGAAAATATATGGAAGGACAAGGCCTTATAATTTCACATTCACATTGACTTAATAACAAATTAAGTTATCAAGTTATGATATTTTCTAATTTGGAAATTTAATGGCAACAGTATCGTTTTTGTTCAAACTTTTCCCACAACCAGGGATTCTCCATTTTCTCCCAGAATGTATGCAATTTCTGGATCATTGAGGTGATTCTAGTATAGAGGAATAAGCAACTGTGGGGGCTGCTCTCTTTGTTTTAACCCCTTTTTACAGTACATATACAAAAACTAATTTCCGTCTGTTTTGGACATCCCTCAATTGTTTACACTATGCAGGGCGGAAAGATTAATTGTTTTTATATTGAAATCGCAATCTAAAAGAAATCAATTCTATATAGATCCATGAACACTCAAAGAACCCTTTGCATGCTTAAATAGTTCTTCAGATTGATAGAGAATGTGCTGTATATTGTTTCACATAGAGCCTTTTTGAAAAGGGTTCTATATAGCACCAGAAAGCGTTTTTCTGGTATTACAATGTCAAGCTTGTAACAATAAAAGAACCCTGTTTGCTGCTACGTACCACATACAACACATTTTCCATCAGTATGAAGAACCATTTCACCAAGCAAAGAACCATTTAATCATGCAAAAGGTTCTCTGAGGGCTCATTTTTCTATACAGAAGCATCTTCTTTACTAAAGAACCCTTGAAGAATCGCCTTTTTTAGGTGTGAATGTTGATGGGTTGCAAGGTTTAAGTAGGGAAATTTAACCTAATCACATAGAGCTTTTTCTCCTTTTTGATGGATTTGATGAATCAGAAGCAACCAACCATGCATGTGCTGTGACATCACAACCACAAATAACTGACAGGCTGGTGCACTGTGTTCGGCTTTCAAGCTTCAAGACAAAAAACAAGTATGCACTAAGTCTTCAACAAGTCTTCTTGGCCAAAAAAGGCCTATACATCAATTTATAGAAAACATTCGCAATTTAATTAGCAATATTGGTCAGAAAAAACAAAATTAGATATTTTGCTGAAATTGTTCAGCCCTAGCACTATGCATTTTTTTCAGTAACACTGATTAAATATATTTTTAAAAATGTTTAATAAAAATGCTTAACAAAACTGGAAGCTTAAATACTATTTTTTGTTGCTGCAGTTGAACACAATTTTTTGATATCAAGAAAGCTGCACTTGTGCTGTTTGCTTAATGTCGGCATGGCCGTCTTTGTGGACTGGCCATGGTAGAGGATTCTGACTCCTCCTATCTCCTCATTGCTCACTAACAGCTCAACACAGTCACATTTCACAACCAACAGTGTCCTACACTCTTAAAAATATGAATCTTCAAAGGCTCTTTAGTAAAGATAACGGCTTTATACATCACCAAATGGGTTCTTGTATTGTTATGAGCTTGACATTGCAACAGTGGCAGAATATCATACCCTTTTTGGTGCTATATAGAACCTTTTTTGAAAGGATTCCTTATAGAACCATACACAACACATTCTCCATCAACCTGAGCAATCATTTCACCCTGCAAAGAGCAATTTAAGCATTCAAATGGCTCTTTAATTGTTCATAGTTCGATACAGAACCATTGTCTTTACTAAAGAACCCTTGAAGAGCCATCTTTTTTTATAGTGTAGTTAACCTGATGACATTTTATATTCAATATTTTTTGTGTAATTACATTTAAAAATATCAAGCCACTAAAGGTTTCTAAAGGCTTTTTTTGAAAAAGCTGGTGTTTCTGATGCTGAGATGAAGGTTAAGGCTGGGTGAAGAGGGTCACAACAGCATTTGTGCTCTATAGACAGGGGAAACTGGGGCGGTTGCAACACGGGATGGTTGCAGCAAGTCTTATTCCACCAATCAGAAACAGGCTAGAGTGAAGGCACTCATACTGCACATGCTCAATCTGACCCTCCCCCCAACAGGAAGACAGAAAACACTTTCAACATCAAAACTTGTTTCGGAGGAATGAGGGTAATTTTTAATTAGCTGTATTTTTGTCATACATGCTTTTGTATGAATTAATAAAAAAAAACTACTTAGTTAAGATCACTGTTTTGTTGACTTCTAAGTGACATTGTTAGCATAAGTCAGGGTCAGTGTGTCTAGCACATGATGTTCTGTGATGGGTGATAGGATGGGGACAGATGCAACACGTTGTTGCATCTGTCCTGAAGCTAAGCAGCCACATCAAAACACATTTTCAGTTCAAATAAGGCATAATCTTTATTTAGTTTTATTGCATGTGATGGAGAAAACTGGCATACATATTATAAGACCATGAGAGGCTAATGATAAACAAAATAATTCCCAAAATAACTTGTTTATGTTTTCCTATACATGTGTGTGCATTTGTGTGTGTGGGGGGGGGGCTTATTATTATTTTTTTTTTCCATAGGCTATGCCAAGAGTGACGAAGAGGGTTACTAACAGAGGGGTCCCCCTCAATATTTTGGAATGAGCCTCAAATATAATCAGGGCGAGGGCAGGACAGTCAGGGCAGTGATAAATATTACTGATAATACTAATAAGACAATGCATATTTTCAGAATACTATGCTTATTGAGACAAAAAAATAATTAATTAGTGAAATTTACTGTATTTTTAACATGTTTGCAACTGTTCCCAGGCTGGGGTCAGTTGCAAAATCTGACTTCTTCCATTCAAATCAATATTGTGAATGTCATTGTAAGCATCTTTAAATGGTATCTGTAATTAGCTAATAGAAGTTTCAAATGTAAAAATTTGGTTGGTCTAGTCTCTGAGGAACTGAGAGCAATGCATGAAGTGCTGCAACCATCCTCAGTCCCCCCCACTACACCCCACGATGACAGGAATACCTACTTGTCTTGTGGGGGGAACTGACAGTTCAAAAGTGCTACGCCAAATGTCGGTCAGTGCTCCTCCTCTTCCTTAACCGATCAACGCTAACCAGACCGTAGAATACGATCACAGATGTGGTTTTCTATCTGAACATCTGTGAAACTGCTCTGTGCACGTCTTGGCTAGTTGCTCTATTATAGCCGAGCAGATAATGAGCTTAATTAACTCAATGACAATTTGAATGTCATAAATACATAGAACAGACCAGCCAAGGGATGAGACAATTACCTCTTTTAATGATATATTCTGCAATATAAAACTTCAATTCCAATATCTGTGCACAATATTATTATGGTGCTATGGTCTCCCTGCAAAATATGTTTACTTAACCATTGTAGTTGAAATTTTATTAATAAATTCCTGAGGTGAAATGATTTCAATGACGGTGAAACATTTTCACTATTATTAACAATGTCATGATATAACCATGCTTATTTTGGTCACTGATATCATAAACCTTTTTAGTACTCTCTGTGGAGAAAGAGGGGATTAAGAGCCTATTTTTTGGCAGTGCATTTTGAAGAGCTTTGTTGTTTGTTGTTTTGGACTATAACCACTCCCAAAGCATTTTGTGCCTTATTAGGTAGTAGCTTCTTGTCTTGTGCTTGGTGGGGAAGTTGGAGAAGAAATCTCAGTTATTTTCTGCAACTACTACTACAACTAACTTTTTTGTGGTTTAGTGAAAAATAGTATGGTTTTATGTGCGTACAACTGTTCAAAGTTGTGTTCGCTAGTCATGTACTAGCTAGCATTTTTGCCCAAAATTAGCTAAAACTGTCACTACTGAAACATTCATTACTGAAACATTTGGTACAGTTCAGTAGTGTTATAATTGTTTTGGCAGCCACAAAACAGAATGATCAATCATTTATTATTAATAAAATCAACATTATTAAAATATAGGGTCATTCAAAGCAAATTAATTTCAGTCTGAAATCCAAGTCAATTAAAAGTCCAAAATGTGTTTTGAACTCTGACTTTGAACCAGTTTGGTAGAATGATCCAAACAGTCAAACACAACAAATCTATCTAGCTGTAGTACTGTTTATCAATTACACCATGAACTTCAGCTGTTACTTGCGTTTATACCAGTCATTAAGCCTACAAAGATGGCAGAAACCAAATATCTGTTGGAGACCACTGCAAAAACTTCAAATGGTGACATACTATTTAGTATGGTAACATGCTGTTTGGGTTGCAGCAATAAAGATAGGCTGCTCACGTCAATGGCTATTTTCATTATATCCTTTACAAATAACAGCTAATAATTGTAAAATCTTCTTTTAGAATAAGTGTGATCTGTATCTCCTAGAATGCACAATTTTTTGCAGCAATCTGTTGTATTGATGTAATTTTTATATGACATAAACTTAAGAATAAGCATTGTTTTCCATGTAACTACTGAATTAGTTGTAATCAGTGAAACTAAGTTACTTACCTGGCACTGTCTTGTTGGTTGCGGTTGTGGTAACAAAACTAGGTGAAGCAGTATTGTTGGTGGATGTGTTGTTTTCTGGAGAATAATTGAACAGATGGGTGGAAAATGCATTAACATTATTAAAAATGCCTCTTTTGCCACAATTTTAATGTAATTAGCTGCTAAAGGCATCATGAGCACTCGTGGAATGTATTTATTAACAGCAGATGCCTGTTCTTGATGTAAATGACCAGCGTCCACACCCATTAACTGCCACTGCACTTAAGGCGGAATTTTTCAAATTAAAAAAAAAAAACAAAAACTTTATACCTAAATGGTTAGAACAAAACAAAATCAATCAGGGTGGTTTGAAGTGAAATGTTCCATTCAATCAGAATTATTCACAGTGGTGATGATGGGAACCAAAGAGTTTAATGCCTCTCACAGAAAATTGTTACATGAAATAGTTACAAGTGCACGGCCTAATGACTAGGACATTGGTTTATGGTAGTTTTTAGAGAATATTTTGGACTAAAATGTGTTTTTTACATACATTCATAGGTGAGAGGTACATGTATGGCAAAACAGTTCTCAAAGAAAACTGACATATAAAAATTGGTCATTTTTGATAGGTAATAAAATAGTTATATTTGCATTGTAGACCCCTGGTTCCTATCATCTAGGCACTTGAGTTGGTCGAAAAATCGATGGAGATTTAATCACACAAGTAGCACAACCATTTAGACCTTCAACATAACCAGTAAAGCAGCAAAAATCACCATATTTTACCATGTGCTGATGTAGGACTGCTTGAGATGGGGCTATCAGTGACTTTTGTGGTCGAACTGCTGATCTCTGTATGGTTTTCTTTATCTCCTAACTGAGTGGAAGCATTACTATAAGCTGGTGCGTTGGTGTGTTCTGTAGTTTGGCTAACAACAGCTGTAACCAACAAGGCACCTGGATGGCATCAAACAGAGAAGTCACAGAACAGATGAAAAGACGCTGCAAAATATCTGCTATGCAATAATAACACAAAATAGATTATGTGAAATTTGATTAATGTATAGCTAAATACACAGTTATGTTATTAATCCAATTGTCATAGTAATGTCACAGTTATGAGAACCTTCAATATAGGAATATTATGTGCTTAAAATACATACCTATAACTGTAAGAACAGCGGCAGTTATTTTCTCCATCCTGTTCAGGCTCAGGTTGCTGAGAGTGTATGTGTCTGTGCGAGAGGGAGTATGTGCGTGCTGGTTTTTGTGCACTGATGTCCGATGAGCTAATAACCACAAAGCCTCCTGCACAGGATGTAAAAATCGTTGCTCAAATGGTGTAAAAAAGGAAGTCACAAATTGTTTTTTCCATTTCTTTTTAAAGCAAATGTTGTTTGAGTTCAGTGTAATTAATGAAGTCATGATATTTTTTGCCATAGAAGCCAGAATTCCACTGAATGTAAGCAGTGACATCAACTTAACCAATCCACTCTCCTTAAATATGCTGCACATGTGGGTTGTACAACCTGTACTATGTTGTTTCAAACAGACAGAAGGCCTGCATCCTGTGCAAGTTGTACAATGCCTACATTTTTTTCATATTCAGGTGTTTACATACATTATTTCATTTCATCTGGAGACTACACTCTTCAAAAGGAGATGTACACTTTCACAGCACATAAGTTTCCATTAGATCAGGGGTGTCCAGTCTCATCTGCAAAAGGCTAACTAAGCAAAAGCATTCCTGATTCCACTTGTTTAATCAGCTAGTATCCATGTGAGCTCCTGCTTTGTTGAAATGACAACCTGTAGTCACACCCTTAACTTCACTGATACAGCATCGTCACATTTCAACTCTTTTTAGCATGTCCGGCTCACCACTAGGGCACTATGTTACATAAATGGCCACTCACAGCACAAGGAGAGGAAGGGACAGGGAACAATAGGCTTTTCATTCATAACATGCTGGCCCTTGGCTAGGTTATCCTCAGTGAGCTAATTAGCTAGCAATGAAAAACACAGGTTTATCCATTCAGACTCTTTGTTCTTCAAACATGCATGAGTGAGACTCTAATGTGCCTGAATGAACCTGCATGGTTGAGCGTAAAGCTTAGGCTTTCTTGCTAAGCTAACGCTAGTTTCTAGCAAACATGGTCAAACATGGAGGAATAGTTAAGGTGACCAGATGTCTGAAATTAAAACCAGGGACAGTTCCATTTCAGCGGTCAATATATCATTTAAAAATCCAGTTTTTTTGTCTATGATATAAAAAAGGGGGACAGTTGCAGTTTCATGTGTTTTGACTATGTTGTACAGTTGCAGTTTCATGTGTTTTGACTATGTTGTACTGTAAAACTCTATCTGTACCAAGCGGTTAAGGATGATGATGATGGTGTACTGTAATAAACTATGCTGAAGGCCAACTAATAAAATGGGGTACTAACAAAGTAACTTTGTAAACCGTGTTAGAAAATCATACAGTAGCCTAAGTGAAGAAGAGTGAGGCTATGCTAACCTATATGGCTACAGAAAAAACACCCATGCCTATAGCCCACTAGCCAGATCCTAAACACACCCCTGGGCTGGCTTGAGAGACAGAGACGGCTGCTATCAACATGTCATATATCATATAAAGATAGCTGAAAAAATTATGCAGTTTGAAAAAATGATGCACTATTTGTAGATGGCCTACATTCAGTTAGGTTGTAGGCCTATATAAATCAGCCTACCTATCACCTGGTAGTACGATTCAAGTCCCGTAACCCCACCCCTGCTTTTAATTCCTGGATTACCTTGTGTTATAAAACGTTTGTGGTGATGTTGTGGACTTACGTGATGCTAGCTTTTGGTTGATTTTTCCACAGCAGTATTCTCTAAAACTAGGCAAGCAAATGGTAGATGTGGTTAGTAGATAGGAGCAGCCAGCCCCCTCTGTTGGCCGAAACGAGATGTCTGCCAATCTGCTGTGCTGCCAGGTCCTTTTTAGGACTTTCCGGTGTGCTTTTAATGCACAGTTAAAAATGGGGACAGCCCCAGCTGGGGACAGGCCAGCGAAAATGGGGACTGTCCCTTGAAAACAGGGATTTCTGGTCACACTAGCAAAAGTTGCTTAAGCTAACAAGTCCACTCACAAATACATTGGTTTCCTCACTCAGTTTTGAGTCTATATGCTTAAAACTCAGTGAGGCTTCAGTGAGTTGGAATGAACCTGTGCTGAAACTGTGACATGCTAAGGTACTTGGTACTACAACAGTGCCAGGCACTGGCAAGAGGCAGCAAGAGGCAAGCTTCTGAACCACTGGGGTAGAGGAGAGCTGCAGGAAGAGGCATGGGTCCTGCAAACGCCTCATGTTCAACCTCATTGGCACTGCCATGGGACTGAGGCAATGGGTGGTCAGGCACTGGTGTTGCACATAACAAGAGCCAGATGATGCTGGATTGGGGCTTGAGCACTGGCTTTATGCTGGATCATGTTGGACCCTGGCACATCTTATTAGCATGTTTTAGCATAGCTCATTTGCATTTTGCATATATATATATATATATATATATATATATATATGTATACACACACACATATATATATATATATATATATATATATATATATGCATGTGAGTGGAAGCAGCAGTTATTTCCTGATAACGGGCTCAGTAAGCCTGCCTTACAACTTTGAGGCCAAGTCATGGCACTATGTACTGCAACATTTAACCACATGGTGTCACTGTAGGTAAGAGGAAAGCAGGAACACGTTCAAAAGAAAATCACATCAATCAGTGAAAGCTGGATGGAATTAAATTCTAAGGTTCATCCTCCCGTCTGAGCTCATTGCACAAACACATTGCGCAGTTTAATAACAAGATAGATCTAATTTATGAACGTCATTTATACTTTAGGATGGAGCTGTTTTGCCAATTTCTGCAGTATTTTTACAAAATAAATACAAATGTAATTGCATGTCCCAGTTGAGCTTTAGAAATGTAAATATAAACCTTGTGTGCTGATGACAGATGACCGAAAATCATTTTGATTTTATACAGACGTCTAGTTTCAAACTCCCCTTCCAGAGCTGTTTTCATGCAGTGGACGTTAACAGGACATTTAAAAGGCTTAAAAGTTTAAACATGGCACAGAAAGCTGTGTGCGTGTATGTGTGCGTGTAAAGGAGGGGGTTGTGTGTCCTTTTATTACTGTTTATTTCCTCGTGGCAGAGATACTCACTGGCAGGATTAGTGGTCACTGCCACCCAGTCAGCAGTGTGACTGAGACATGGCCTTCAGCAGGTCCAGGTCCAGCAGGCCTAACAGCAGCTGAGGCTGTGGCTCTTTCTCTCTGTGGGTCTGACGGCGCAGCTCGCCCAGGAGGCCCTCTAATCAAGATTCAAGACTCGAGATTCTTTACAGCCACACGATGTTGGTGGTATCTGAATTCAATACAGCTGTGTGGTGTGTAGGTCCACAATAAACAATAAACAATATGGTGAGCAATTAAGTATGAGGCGCAAAACAGGAAGACATTAGAAACACCACTTACATTATATAAGTGATTTAAGAGATGGAGAGGTGTAACACAATAAAGACAGTAGTCTACTGCTGGTTGTGCGGAGTATAGTATTCGCAAACATAATAGCGCAAACTGAAACAAACAATAGCAATAAGTATGGGACATAACGTAACAGGTATATAACAGGAATATTTATATTTATAATAGAACATGCTTCTAGTCACTTCATTGTATTGTAATAGCAAGCTCATCTGCATATTTCATCAATGATCTGACAGACATTTTGTGAGAATCACTATAATTTTGTACCATTTCAATCATGAGTTTTTGATTACTTTTAAAGCATATTGTCACCGTTCAACAAATTTATATCTGTAAACTTTTATCCATTTTTATTTTGTACATCATTTGAGCACAGCAACTGTCCTTTGCATTGTGTGAAAATTTAATGAGGAATGGACCAATAGAACAGCTCCAAAATCACTTGGAATAAAATATAAAATCCCACTACATTGACCTGCATTAAAAGTTATAAATGTTCTTGCCTTCTCCTGTTAAGTTTTATACATATGTATGTCAGAATAAGAAGAATCTCTCCAAAGCGGTACCTTTACAAAGAAGGAGAACATTCTCGTATATATATATATATATATATATATATATATATATAATATATATATTAATATATTCATTACTTTTGACTATACAAATTCAGATGTTCACAAACTGTATTTGGCTGTTCTACTTTGTCTACAATAAATTTGTCAGTGTAACATAGTCTCTTGTCTGTATATATTTTGTAAGCCTGTATATATTATATTCTGTATTTCAGGCAGAAACCTTGTCTGGTTTAAAGACCTGTAGAACTGGATTGAATAAACTGTGTTTTTCATCCATTTGCCAGACCTTTCTAGAAAATATTACAACTAGCCCCTCAGACTGTTATAATTAACCCCACCTGAGGGGTGAGTTGTAAGAACTTTACTCACAGCACTTTCAGTTTAATTGTTCTAGCAGGAGCTTATATTTTCAACATACAAGTTTAAAAAAAACATGTAATATACTTAGGTATATTTTTAGGTATATTTAACTATTTATTTGAAGCTTTTTAAGTATTTAGAGAAAACTGCAAAGTGTTCAGTTGCCCATACTCCCCTATGCACCAGACACTGAAGGAGAAAAGGCCATACCACAGCCCACCACATCTGAGCAGGGGGCGCTAAAGCTAGCTAGCCAGCCAGGCAGGGCCATAGTGGATGAGCTAATCGCTCGGCTCTGAGGTGTTGGGAGAACAGAGAGGGAGAGAGAGAGAGAAAGGGAGAGAAGAGAGAGAGAGAGAGAGAGAGAGAGAGAGAGAGAGAGAGAGAGAGAGAGAGAGAGAGGAGACCACCCACCCGGCGGATTCAGGATTCAGGAGGCCCAGACGCCGCAGCAGCTCCATTCTGTGACCCTCTGTGCCGCCCCAAGCTCCAAGCTGGACCCTTCGCAATTGAGCCCCCACCCCAACACCCCCTACTCCACCAACCCACCCACCCACCTCCCTCAAGCTAACAGGGAGAATGGAGGAAGAGTGGGGTGGGGGTGGTAAACAGCCTACTTGCTCTCTCTCTCTCCTTCATAGCACAATGCGAGGGAATGCAGTCAGGCACTGGAGCACTTTTAGAGAGGCCAAACGCTGCAAAGGCCTCAATGCAACATCTGTGAAGGCACGTAGCCCACGGGGGAAAATGCTATTCTGTTGTGAATAACATTGACAAACCTGTGTTTTTGGA